TTTCTTGCAGTTTGTATTTGAAAATAATAGGTTGGATTGTTTTATCCACTTTCCCAATGCAAAATTATGTTTTATTGTTGTATATGCTTTTTCAAACTATAGATGCCTCCCAGATTCTGATGAGCAACTCTATCCCAGGTGGGCATCCTCTCTTAGCAACTGGATACAGCTGTATTAGATTAGACGATACTTACGAGATGTACATATTTTGCATGCATGGCTTTTATATGGACAACTGCTTCTTCCATGAGTAAGTTTTGTTTCTTCCACCTAGCTCAAGTTTGAGTTAATGGTTCTAGTGATTTAGATGAAACTCTAAACATTACAAATTTATTGATCCTACCTGCAAAAAATTGCTTTTCATAGATGAGAAAATAGTTTTTCATCATAACTTAATTTTTAAATTTTAAATTAGGACACAGGTTTTCAGGCACACATTTTTTTCTTTCTCTTTCTATAGCTTTGAGAAGAGTATCATAAATCACCTAAAATTGTAGAGTTGATGTTCAGCCTTATTTAGTAACATAAGAATGACAGTCCATTTTTTAGCAATTTTATTGTGGTTCAAAGTTCTAAGTCCAGGCTACATGCAGCCAAATCCGCAGACCCTTCTAATTGGAATCATTTGGTAGCGCCATCACATACAGGAATTTTAAAGACCCAGATATATCCTCACATGCACACGCATATGTTTTATGGAATGTGTGCATCCACTTTGATGCAAAAATTTAAGTTTTTAAAATAAAAGTTTTTTAAAACTTTGTTTATAGTAACGAAGCCTAACAAACATCACTGTTCTATAATATGCCCATATTTATGAATCAAAAATTCATAGTCAGGGCTAATTCTAGGAAGAAAGATGGCACATAACCAATAACAAATTTTATTACTACAAGGGAGAAGTAATAAAGTCATAAGGATGTTATACAGGTGAGGACATTCAGTTGTAAGTGAAAGAACCTATGTCAATCTAAATTCAGGGGGGGAAAAATGGACATTTATTGGTTCACAGAACTGAAAAGTCTAAGAGAATTCCAGCATCAGGCACATCCAGAGCCAGCTGTTAAACACTGCAATCGGGAATCTATCTCATGCCTTCTCTTGGCTCCACTTTCTCTTGCACTGGCTTCATTTTCAGGCTGCCTTCTTTGATGCATACAGTGCCCTGCAGCCACACCTGGCATCTACCCTCCAAGCTTCAAGTCTCAAGGAATGAGGAATCCTATATTTCAGTATTTCCAACTGAAGTCCTGTAGCTGAGTTTCACTGGTCTGTCTTGGGTCAGTTATTCAATCCTGAGCCAATAGCTGAAGCCAGTGGGATACAATACTCTGAGAATTATTGGAGAGGGGGTACAAATCCAGTGACCCACACAGACTGAAAGTAGGGGAGGGATGGTCCTCGAAATAAGTCAGGATTCTGTGAAGAAGAAAGGAAAAAGGATGCTGGGCAAGCCCAAACAACAGATGTCGAGATATGTGCTTTCCAGAAACTGGATTAACTCCCTGACACATCCTGGTGGGTAACCCAGAACTAGCATGTGGCACAACTCCAAGGGACACCATTCACACTGTATTCATGGAAGTGAAATGTGCAACACAGTGGCCATTGTGTATTCCCTTTGCTCTGGGACAGGAGGGCTGGTTTAATACCAGACATCAGCCTGAGAAACAACTTTTCTGAGGCCAGTTCTGTCCCAAAAGATTTGTTAGACAATCTTCCACTATATGTCCTCTTCTGTGGTTCCATTATTTCCGTAAGTCTTAGGCAGATATTATCTTCCTGGAGCCAGAACTAACATATGTGGCCTGATGATGATGAACCTGTGATACAACTGCATTTCATAGTTGTGGACACTTTGGCACCAGTGCATGAATGAGGATGTTATAAATAGGTTTCTTCTGTAGGCGTATGATTTAAAAGAGGAATGCAGACCTAGAGGTCTTTGCAAACTGATCACACAAGTGATTACAAATCCTTGAAATAATCACCAATCTTTTTGGAAACACAGCATGACATCATGGCAATTAGTGTACTTCTTTCTTTCTCCTGTAAAAACTGCTCAATGAAACATTTTCAGTTTTCTATTTATAACTATTTGCGTGCTTTAATGTTATGCCCCACAAGTGCTTTTACTTCCTAAAATTTCAGAATTTGCTCCTTAGGGCTGCTGCTGTTTAATTTCAGTCATTATCCTACCTCTAGCAAAAATATTAAATCTGATTAATATTATTTTACTTCAGGTGGGTAGTAGGTGTTCGGTAAATGCTGAACACACAGATTATTTACTGGAATAATGTTGTTCATGTCTTTTCTCAAAAAAAAACCTCAATAGATACTATATAAAATAAAACAAGCAAATTTATATAAATAGAATTTTAAAATAATAGGAGGTCTCAAGGGTGCCACTTTAGATTAGATGGACACAGAACATCTTGCCACGGAAGTGATATCGGTAAAGTGACACGTCAATGATACAAAAGAGGGAGTGACACGAAGATGCTACTTTTCCAGGCAGAAGGAACAGTAAGTGCAAAGGTCCCAAGACAAGAACGAGCCTGGCTCTTTAAAGAATAGAAAGAAGTCTGGTGTGACTGACATATGGTGTGTGACAGAGGGAGAAATGAGAAAGATGGTATCTGAGAGGTAGGAGCATGTCAGGGACACGAGCCAGGGCTCACACAAACACTAGTTCATTGCCTCTTTTCTGTGAAGTGAGTCTCTTGACTAGGGGCACTATTCTGTGTATGGCAAAGCAGAAGGCATTCTAAGCCCATGAATGTTGGTGTTAGTCAAGGTATGATAGAATCCACATTCAGAAAAACTGCCTATTTCCAAGGAAACAAATCACAGCTCCCTCCAAAATGGAAGAAGTCCAATGAAATGAACTTGTCACCAGGAAGCTGCTGGACTCAGACATGTTTTATGTTGGGTTCCCCCACAGGCTGACACTAAGACAAGGATTTGTGCTCAGGAGGTGACCCCTTTAAGTACTTAGCTGCTTTGTTCTAAATCTTCTTAAGTTCTAGGTCCAATCTTCAAGGTTCATTGGCCAAGTCCTTCCCAAACCTTCACACTAATTATCAACATTGCTTTTTTTTCTCCCAAGTCTCTGACCAGATAGCCAGTGATTGTTTTAGAGCTTGACTCAGCTAATGTTTCCTTCAAGTCAAAGTATGTGACAAAAGGCATTGCTTGAGATCCTGAGATTTGCCCCCTGCTTTCCTTCAAGACAATTGTGAATAGGGGCTGCGGTATACAACGATACACTTCCAGCGAGTAGCGCACATTGCTCAACAACATCTGTAAGCCAGGCTTGAGTTTTTTCCATTCTGTTAATTGGCCAACAATTCTCTAAGGGGCAAAGGGATAGATTGGTAGGGCCAAGGTGTGGGAATAGGGTAGTTAAAGGCACAGAGTGGGGAGAAATCTGCTTACACTAAGTATAAGTGCCTTCATGGCTTGCTCTGGCCCCAGCTACTAGGTGATGGGAGTGCTACTGGAAACGGTCAATTTTATGAGTAGCTGGATTAGACAGCACCCGATGTCCCAGAGTCTCCAACAGGCCAGCAGCAATTGGGAACTGTTTCTCAAAAGGAAAATAGTAATCCTCCTGAAGGGGGGGCATAGTCTTACTCCAAAATCCTATGGGCTTCCATTTGACTCTCCTGGAGAGACTTGTTTCTGACTTCAGTGAAGTATCTCAATGTTTCAGACACTCTGAGAGGGCTAAGAAGCAGAGCTGCTTGGACTGAAGCCTTGGCCACCTAAAGAGACTATTTTTGCACTGTCAGCTTTTTAGGTCACCTGGTAAATAAGTGCAAAACACCTGCTTATATGCCGTCTCTAAAATCCAGGGCACTTCAAGTTACTGTGCCTTTCTTAATTGTAGAACAGGCAAGGTATATCAATATATCCTTAATACTTAAAGGGGTTATCTCAACATGTGCTTGCTAGACCACTGAATCCCTGAGAATTTCACCAAGGAGTCAATTCTTTTTTTTTTATAGTAATATTTCTTTTTACTTGAAATATAAATGACATATTATATTGATTTTAGATATACGACATAATGATTTGATAGATGTATATATTGCAAAGTGATCACCATAGTACTTTTAGTCAACATCCATCTCCACAAATGAGTCAATTCTTTATATTGCTATGAGATTCAGATTCCATCCTTTGGCACACGTGTCTTACCAAGGCATTTGGGTATCTTGTATTTCTGCCTATGCATCAACATAGCAACCATCTGACTCCATAATCCTTGCATTCTTCTTCCATCACCAAATTGTTCTATGGTGGCTGTAAATAGTATCCAAGGGCCGTATTCTCAGGAGGCTCATGGATCCTGGTGACAAAGGACAATAATTTGATAGACTGATCACTGAAGTTGCTAGCTGTCTATCCAGAATGCAGAGGGAGGTGGCACTGCCTTTCATGCTATCCGGACATAACCAGTTCCAAAGATCCTTCATTTCCCTAAAGTTCTTTTGCCTACAGTCCATTCTCCGGAACCAGTCTGGATATTAGTTAAAGTTCTTTTGTTTGCAAGCAACAACAACAACAACAAAATCAGTGACCTTAATTAGCTTAAAGAAATTTAAAAAATATATTGCAATGGATCTTGTGATAGTTCACAGATCCAAATAAACTGTGAAAGAACCAAAACTCAAGAAACAGGAAATCTCTGATAACGGTCTCCAAAGAGAGCTACCATAAAAGCCACCCAGCTCTGATGTCTCTTATCCTCTCCATTCAAGTTTCAAATTCCCATGAAAACATATGTTTGGCTCAGTTCAGTGTTAGGTCTTCCCCCATCAATCGGCTATGGCAGTGAGGCAGGGTCACCAAGCACAGACACAACCACGAGGGCGAGGGGGACTGTAAACCAGGCAGCCACCCCAACAGAAATCAACTTTAATTACCCATGTTTGTAAGCTTCTATTTTGCAGTAGATAAATTACAAAGGTAAGGGCAAAAAGGTACAAAAGACATGGCTTAATCAAACAATTTTAATGACGTTAATAGTAAGCAGTAAAAGTACAATTACATGTCAAGCCTCACATTTTACATGTTTAAAATGTTTTTAATTGTCTTTATTTGTAAGGTGTTGAAGGTGGGACCCACTCCTGAATCTTCTTTCTAGTTGTGGAATAAGGTACATATTGTTGTGGAGTGCCAGTCACGTTGAATTTATGGTTTGTCCAAATGAATTTACGAGCAGTAGGTGGTTTTGTTGTCGGAGGATCATCAGTCATGCAGTGAAGCCAACGATGCCTTAAAGAGGGACAAAAGGACAGTTATGAAGAGGCAGCACAGTGTAGTGGGACGAGGGTTAAGAGGGCAACTCTGGAGCTACTATGCTGCTTCAGCTCAAATCTCAGTTCCATCACCAATCAGCTGAACTTTTCTATGCCTTAGTTTTTTTCATCTGAACATTCTTAGGAAGGATAGTATAAGGATTAAGTGAGATAATACACGTAAAGCACCTAGAAAAATTCCTATGCATAGTAGGTACTCAACAAATGTTAGTTACTGCTATTATGATTACTATATTTCATCTAATCTAGGACACTGTCAATTTTAAGACACACTGTATTTCTAAGAAAGAAAAACTGCTGTTAATTAAATTCTGAAACTACTGATTATAACATATACATATATATGGCTAGGTAACTGGCTAAAACCAGTAAGAATAGAGATAAAGTACTATTGTTGCTGTATTTGTGTCTAAAGATAATCATATCATGATCAGCTAATACAATGAAGAATGAAGAAGTCTGTACCCGCTGGGCTGGTTTCTCTCTTACATCCTTCAAAAGAAACTGGGAATTAGTGAAAATAACCTGAAACAATAAACCATGACTATTAATATGAGCTCTGAAACCCGGTGAGACGCTGGTGGTGAGACAGGCTCTACTAGCCACTCGAAGGAAGGATTAGCTGTCAAAATCAAGTCTGTAACTTATCAAGGGGCTTTATGTAAGCTTACGGCATGGCAGAAATATTTAACTTTTATCTTGTTGAGTCAGCTTAAGTAACTAATGAAAATTTTTATTCAAATACTTGCTGCCAAGACTCCTGAAAGTTGCAATGATATTTAAGGAACCATAGTCCAAAGCTCTTATATGCCTATTCAGTAACTTAACTGAGAGCTCATGGAAAAATTAAAATTCTCAAGAAAGCTAAAAGGTATTTTTTACCACAACACATAAAATCTGAACATGTTCCTCCAGTAAGGCTACTGGCTAGAGTCACTAAATGAGTAAATGGTAATTTATGCTCATTATGGTAGAATAAGAAATTATGAGGAACAAGAAAATGTTTATAGTCCTCTAGGCTAATATAATCCTTCTGTTAAAATTATATTATTAAATAAAGGCTAAAGAAACAATACCTTTTAGATTTCCACAACAAAGAGTTTTTGCAAAATAGGTTTTCAGTTGGGTCATTTTTATTCCAATTAACTAAAGATGTCAATGGACTAACTAGTCTAGAAAACTCTATGGGCTGGCATTAGATCCATTTCCATTTTTTATCACTGTTATTATCTTACAGGACAGGATATGAAATTAGTTACACTTGATGATAAAGTCAGTGAAGTCTCACTACAAATAAGGAGACTGGCAGAAGAGCAAAAGTTATAAACACAAAAGAGATAAATATTTACAATGAAAATATATTACACTTCGGGAAAAATTCAGTACTCCAACATATTCTAGTGTGTCAAAATAACTGGAAAGCAAGATATTAAATCACAGTTGCAAATAAATCCCGTAAGTGGAGGATTCAATTTTCAGTTGTATATGAAGAAAAAGTGTGCAAAGGAACAGGGAAAGAAGACTTTCCCCTTATTTGAAAATATACTATTCCGCTTAAGTTTGAGGTTGTCAGCCATTCAAAATACAAAATGGGGGATTTGTGAAGAAAGAATAAAAGAGCACAACAGGAAATTTAAGAAATAAAAATATATACCATATAAAGTAGATTTTAAAAAATCATTGTGAATGAAAACAGTCTTTAAGATAGATATTAATAAGAAAAATTTTAAAGTTTAATTTTCCCTTTCAGAAAATTCCCGGAAATAAAACATTAACAAATAATAGCCAATAATAACAAAAACACAGGCGGTTTTGAATCTTCTCTTTAGACAGTTCACATTATTAATTTTGGGAATCAAGGCAGGCTTCTGACTTAAATGTTCATTTTTCAGGTATTTTCACTTAATAACACTGAGCCTAGAAATGCCAAAGAGTTTTCAAATTTTCAAAAAATAAATATGAAAGACTAAAAAACCCTCCAGATTGTTTTTTGAGGTAAAAATATTCATTATGCTAAAACTATTATTACCCTATCCTACTTTAGTTTATGAAAATATTCTCATGCATATCACTCAGTCACTTATTTAGGACTAATCTAAGTATTCATATTTTTAAAACGAGGAAACAGAATTGAAATGATTTTCCCAAGGTCCCACAGCATGTGAATCACAGAGCTAAGGCTTGAACACAGCTTTCCAATGGCTGAAGAGAAGTTTTCAATCAGAAACATAAATACAATTAATAGATGAAAACTGGGTTGGGATTATGATAGCATCTAAGTATCTGCCAAAATCCTGAGATCCATCTAACCCCAGGATAGGATTGATAAATTTAACAAATTTAAAAAACAAAGACAGTTCATTACAAGATAGCCAATTCAAACTCTGTTAGCTCAGTAATGATTATTTTTAATTAAATGTAATCTGAACCAAAATCCAAATAGGGCTTGACAATTATAATTCTAAGGATCAGATGAAAGTCTATCTTAAGAAAGTCATGAAAACTTACAACTATCAGGAAGACTGGCATTACTAGATATTAAAGCCATAGACATTAGAATGGCATAAAAATTGATACAAAAATTTTGGTACAAAAGCACAATAATAAAACAGAATGAAATTCCCCAGACAAGGATATATAAGGTAAGGCTGGCCTTTTAAACTACTGGGGAAAGTAAACATTTCTTAACAAATTATGCTAAGATAATTAATTTTTTTGAAAAAAATTAGATTTTCCAAGCCATATATCAGAATAATTACAGACAGATTAACAGTGCTCAGATACAAATGGGAGAATATTTATATCCTTAAGATACACTGATATTCACAGACTATGAAGGACTATTTAAGCTTTTAATATCAAAGGCAAAAAGCCATAAAGAAAAAATGATAATTTTACTACATAAAAACTAATTTACGTCCTAAAACTTTGCAAACAAGATTAAAAAATAAAAAAGGGGAAAATACTTGTAACATACAGAAAAGCAGTTTATCTATCATTACAAATCAGAAAGAAAAAAATCAAACACCCAATTGAAAAATAGATAAAAGAAGTTAAAGATAAGTCATAAAAGGAAAAAATAAAAGCAGCAAACAACAAAAAAAAGTTTAATCAAGGAAATGCAAATTAAAACAAGATGTAACATATTACTAGCTAAATTAGCAAAAATTTTTAAAAATAATATAATACCAGTATTGGTGAAGTTATAGAGAAGACAACAGTCACATACAACTGAATGTATTTATCCTTAGAGTGTAAACTGAGGGCTATTTGACAGTAGGTACCACAGCACGTACACTCCTGGATGCAGCAATTTTACCTGTAGGAATTTGCCCTAAGGAAATAAGATGTGTGGATAAATGCTTACATACAAGGATGCTGACCACAGCTTTATTTATAACAGTGAAAACATGGAAAGAATAAAACCAAGAATAATATAGGGAATAATATAGGGAATACTTACATATCTCAGGGCATATCCATATGACAGAGGACTAAAGCCTCATTAAAAATTATGTTAGAGAATTTTTTATGACTTGAGAAAATGCTCACCATATGTTAAGTTTGAAAAGCAGGTTATGTACTTAATGATACTAGATAGCATTTATAAGTCACAGGCACTGTTCTAAACACTTTACAAATATTAACTCATTTAATCCTTAAAACAACTCTATGAGACAGATGTTATTATCCCAATTTAATAAATGAGGAAACTAGAGCTCCAAGAGTTTAAATAACTTGCCCACCATAGTAAAGCTAGAATTCAAACCCTGGCTACATCTTCAAAAAGTCCACATACATTAAAAACAAAAACAAAGTCTTTAAGCCATTTTGAGTTTATTTTTGTGGATGATGTGAGAGAGTGTTCCAACTTCACTGATTTACATGTGGTTCTCCAGCTTTTCCAACACCACTTGCTGAAGAGATGGTCTTTTCTCCATTTTATATTCTTGCCTCCTTTGTTGAAGATTAATTGACCATAGGTGTGTGGGTTTACTTCTGGGCTCTCTATCCTGTTCCATGGAGCTATATGTCTTTTGTGTGTGTGCCAATACCATGCTGTTTTGATTACTGTAGCTCTGTAGTATTGTCTGAAGTCTGGGAGGGTTAGGCCTCCAATTTTGTTCTTTTTCCTAAGTCTTGCTTTGGCAACTCTGGATCTTTAGTGATTCCATATAAATTTCAAGATTATCTGTTCTAGTTCTGTGAAAAATGTCCTGGGTAATTTGATAGGGATCACATTAAAACTGTAGTAGCTTTGGGCACTATGGCCATTTTAACAATATTAATTCTTCCAATCCAAGAGCATGAGATAGCTTTCCATTTCTTTAAACCATCTTTAATGTCCTTTATCAGTGTTTTATAGTTCTCGGTGTATAAGTCTTTCACATCCTTGGTCAGGTTTATTCTTAAGCATTTTTTTTTTTGATGTGATTTTGAAACGGATTTTTTTTAAACTTTCTTTTTCTGATATTTCATTGTTAATATAAAGATATGCAATGGATTTCTGTATGTTAATCCTGTATCCTGCTACTTTGTTGAATTCATTTATCAGTTCTAGTAGTTTTTGTGTAGAGTCTGTAGAGTTTTCTGTATTTATAGTATCCTATCATCTGCACTTGGTGACAATTTTACCTCTTCCCTTCCAGTATGGATCCCTTTTTTTCTTTTCTGATTGCTGTGGCTAGGACTTTCAATATTATGTTGAACAGAAGTGGTGAGAGTGGATATCACTGTCTTGTTCCAGATTTTAGCAGGAAGGCTTTCAGCTTTTCACTGTTGAGTGTTACGCTGGCTGTGGGTTTGTCATAAATAGTCTTTATTATGCTGAGATATGTTCCCTCTATACTCACTTTAGTAAAATATTCTCTGACAGAAATCATAGCAATGTTTTCTTAGGTCAGTCTCCCAAGGCAACAGAAATAAAAGCAAAAATAAACAAATGGGACCTAATCA